CTCTGCGGGTTGCTCTGCCTCCTGCAGAGCCTCGTCTTTGAGGACGTAGCTGGTGAGGGAGTCCTCGTCGAGGGACTCACGCGTGCCGGGCACCTTCATCATCCTCTTCATGACGTTGTAGCTGCACAGCAGGCCCTTGACGACGTGGGTGATGTAGGACGCCATCGAGTATTCTACGCCTGCCATCCGCATCTCATCCAGGATCCATCGAGCACGGTTGCAGTAGTCCGACACCGACTCCTGATCACCCATCCGAAGGTGTGTCATCTGCTCCTCTAGCTGACCAATGTACAGGTCGTCCGTCACGTGGTACGTCGACAGGATAAATCGCCACGCTTGGTGTCCAGCATCCAGTCGCTCTCGACACGACCTGAGCGCTATCTTCCCTACCGGCGAGCAGCACCTCGAGATGATCATGAAGGCGAGCAGGTGAACAGCACGAATCTCCCCGCGCAGCTCGACATCGTCCTCGGACGGAGTTGGCACAGTGCCGTTGGCAAAGCCCTTCAGCCCGGCGACGTCCAGCTGAGGTTCTATTGCCTCCCTCCATGTGATCAAGTCCCATCGACCTTGCGGTGGTGTGGCGGTGGTTTTGTCCAGCGTGAACTTGAAGTGACCGTACGGCGGTGCGATTCTGCCCGCCGTCACGTGCGGCGTCGCCGAGAGCCCTCCAATGCTTCGTAGAGGAGAGCGACGTCGACCATCGACTTCGACCCGCGAGCTGCCTGCAGCTGCCGTCGGCCGCTGCACTCGCACCTGACTCTCGTCGACGCCACCGTCGACCTTAATCACCCCTATCGTCTTTGTGCCTTCACTGCCGATGACTCATGCACCGCTGTCGACCTCGTCGTCGACGCCACCTTCGTTTCGCACCGGTCGAGGAGATGCAGAACGGGAAGGGTGCTCCGTCGCCCACTGTGCCCTGATGCCCAACTCAACAATCGTCAAGGGGATCGTCCCGTACTCGCCATCCGCGTGGCGTTTCCTCGCATAAGCCAATCGTGCCTCCAAGGTGTCCGCTACGCCCGCTTCTACAACGGGGTCGACTATGGCGACTAACGCGGCTGCCGGCCTACAAATGACTTGGTAGGTGCAAAAGTTGGCTACTATCTGAAGGTAATCTGCGAGGCCGTCCACGTTCACGCTTCTCCCGTACATCCGACTAGGACGTCGGCGTCACCAAAGCGAGGGCGGGGCTAACACTCCATTCCCGTTAACATCTCCCACCTAAGCTCAAGAGTAGCTTGAAATATTTGACTTCAACTCTACTCACTTGACCTGGTTCACCGCATCAGAAACAACAGCAGACCCCAACAGGAAGACAGTAGCAGGGATGCTGAGCCTCAGGTTGAGGCGCGAGGTGAGGAGCATGTCGGTAATCGTGCAGACCGCCATTGAAATGTGCACCCACCTACAATTAAGGATTTAGTGTTTTTTTGGGTTTAGAAAGCAGGGGAAAGGTCAACGGGGTGCATGAGAAGGAAAGAGCCTCAGGTTGGGCGCAAAGGGGAGGAGGTTGTCGGCAATTGTGCAGACTGCTATTGAAATGTGCACCCAAATGTGAAATAATTTTATAACAATGACAAAGATGCTTTGATTTTAGAAAGGATGGGCAGGAGTTTTTTATTTAACCAGTATGAATTATGAAAAAGCACAGATGTTTATGTAAAAATGCAGGAAAAGGCATGCCACACGCGAAGAATCGTGTGCAAAGCAGCATAACGATTGCACTCACATGAAGATTTGTCAAATCCGGACGTATTTGAGCCGCGTGTTGTAGAGAAGAGTTCTAAGCATGAGGCTCGCCCAGCCAATGACCTTGGGGAGGGCAAGGAGGGGAGTGGCGAGAGCAACACAGAAATGAATGAGGAAAAGGGTGGAGTGGAGAAGGAAACGGTTAGGAACGAGCATGAGGCCCGCCCTGTTAGAAGAGAGAGAATTGATGCACTGAATAATGAGCCAAAAGGCTCTTTAGTACAAGCAATGAGCAAGGGAAAGATGAGAAGGAAGCTTACCCTATTGGCCAATAAGTTGGCCAATGGGTGAGCTTGCTTATGGCCCAAGCAACCACAAAATGTGTGTTGGTTGGGATTGGTTGAGGTAAGGACCAATCCCCACCAACCACAAAATGTGGTTGGAGGGTACACTAACCAACCCCCCAATTTATAAGAGTGCTACACGTCTAAGTCTAGCCTATGCATGTTGTATAAAATATGGAAGTAGGGGGGCGGGGGGCGGGGGGTTAGTGGGAGGGAGGGGAGGGGGGGGGGGAAGGAGGGGGGGGGGAGGCAACTTGGAAGGTGAGGGGGCGGGGAACCCGAAGGGTGTACAGACGGGAGCGAGGACAATAGGGAATACGGGCGAGAAAACGACCTGTGGAGGTTTGGTATAGGTCACAATGGTTAGCACCACCTGGGATGAGAGTGGTGATCATGTCTTGTTGGAGGGACCTTTGGGAGAGGAGGTTAGTACGAAGGGAGGGAATGTGGAGACCGGTGACAGTACCTGAGGGAAAGAGAGGACAGGGAAGGGTGGAGGTGTTGTGACAAGGGATGGAAAAACTGCTATCAGCGCCGAGGAGGGAGGTTGGTGTGGGGAGAGGGCGCAGTTTACCAGCGTCGCGAAGGACAGTGTCAGTGGCTCCACTGTCCAGAACGAAGTCAATGGTGGAGGAAGGTGAGGCAGAGTACTGGAACGAAGTTTCATTAGCAGAAGAAGGGTACATGGGAGATGCAACAGATTCAGGTTGACCTAATAAACCAACAAAACCAGAGGAAGGGAAAGCGGTCACACTGCCACCTGCAGACGGCGCCGGGGATGCACCCGAGAGATGGGCTGCAGAGGCAGCACTCCCAGCAGTCCAGGTAGGAAAGGGCTGCTGCTGGGAAACCGGAGGAGGAGGGAGGAGGGGCAGTTGCGGCTGGAGGTCGAGCTGCTGCTGGAGATGCTGGAGCTGCTGCTGGAGCTGAGAGAGGAGAAGCTGCTGCCCATACTGCTGTGACCCCTGCTGCTGATTCCCAAGCTGCTGCTGCTGTTGCTGCTGCTGGTGCTGCTGCTGGGGAGGGGCGAGGGCCTGGTGGGCATGGGTGGAGGAGGGAGGTTCATAGAGGGGAGAGGAACGGACCTCAAGGGGAGTGGGGCGAGGGTTGAGGGCGGACCAGCGAGGAGGGGTGCCGGTGTTGCCACGGGCAAACCACTCATCACTGAGTGCATTGAAGCACGTCTCAGTGGCATGGGTGGTTTGGCCGTAGCGCTGTCCCTGAGTGGGACCGTAGCGAGGCAGGTACTGACAGGGAGGAAAGGCAGCTGCCGTACCACGACCCGCACCACTGCTGCCAGCACCACCGCGACCTGCTGATCCCCCTCGTCCACCCCCACGCCCACCCCCACGCCCACCACCACGCCCACCCCCACGCCCACCGCTACGGCCACCCCGGCTGCTGCGCGACTGGGCTGCTGCGGCTGTGGAGGAAGAGTGGCGAAGGATCTCAGCTTCGGTGGTGATAATCCACTGAGCGACTTCAGCAGGGGTGTGGTGCTTGGAGATAAGCTGCATGTAAGCAAGCTTGTGAGCGTCGAAGGCAGGTGTGAGGCCCTCGAGGAGGTGGCAGCAGATGACAGTGTCCGTGTACACCACATCAAGTGCTGCAAGGCGCCGAGCAAGGTCTAAGACACGGCGAGTGAAAGCAGCTGCGCCAGAAGTGGAATCCATGGAGAGAGTTCCAAACTCCTTGATAAGGGCGTAAAGAGTGGCAACGTCCTGCCGATCGAAAAGGTCGACCAGAAGTCGCCACAGGTGGGAGGAGGAGGTAGGTGAGAGCTCGCGTTTGAGGGAGGAGGGGATGGTGGCGAGAAGAATGGCAAGCGCGCGTCGATCAGCAACCCGCCAGGCAGTAATTTTCGTGGTGTAGTCTGCAAGTTCTGCAGTGTAGGTGTCCAGGTCCTCCTGGTACTTGGTTTAGCGGGCAGCGGCGTCGTCATAGATGCGCCTGACGTCCTCGTAACACAATTGCAGGCGCAGGTGCTCTTGGAGATTGGTGCGGTAGGTGCGAATGGCGGTTTCCGAGCTCTTCGGGTCGTTGACATTCGGCGCAAAGGTGGGAGGATCACCGGGGGGAGAGGGCTCGGCGCCAGGGTGGGCGGGGGCAGGTCCAGTAGGAGCGGTGGGGGCCACGGGCTGAAGTCCACCGCCTTCCTGAAAGACAACCGAGCGAAGGTTGTAGCCGCTGACCACAACAGAGGAGAGGAGCACCTCAACGGAATGAGCATAAGAGTGCCAATTAGCAGCAGAGTTGTCAGGCAGCAACTCGAGTGCGTCAACAGTGGCAAGGTCGACGGAAGAATCGGACGACGTTGCCATAGAGATGAGGGTGGGTAGAGGCTAGGGCAGGAGGAGGATGGTGCGAGGGTACCGTTGCCAGTGCTGCTGCTGACCTTGCTGCCCGTGCCGCTGCTGGTTCTGCAGCTGGTGCCGCTGCGGATGCTGCTGCGGGTAGGATGGGAGGAGGAGGAAGGGAGGAGCGGAGGGTGGGGAAGGTGGAGGAGGAGGAGGGCGATGCTATGGGGGATGCAAGGGGGGAGGGTGCAGCTGGTGGTGCCGCTGAAGGTTCTGCTGCTGGTGCTGCTGCAGGTAGGATGGGAGGAGGAGGACGGTGGAGGAGGAGGGCGATGCTATGGGGGAGGCAAGGGGGAAGGGTGCTGCTGGTGGTGCCGCTCCTGCTGCTGCTGCTGGTAGGATGGGAGGAGGAAGGGAGGAGCGGAGGGTGGGTTGGGTGGAGGAGGAGGAGGGCGATGCTATGGGGGAGGAAAGGGGGGAGGATGCTGCTGGTGGTGCCGTTGAGATGCCGCTGATGATGCTGCTGTGGGTACAATGGGAGGAGGAAGGGAGAGAGGGGGGGGGGGGGACGAAGAGGGCAGCCGTGCGGCAGATCCGCGCGACTGGGAAGCCCGTAGCGAATGCACGCGGGACAGCCCGCGGCAAACGAGCGGGACGTGCAGAGATGGGCGCGAAATGGTCAGATTTCAGCGCGGGAGATGCAGATCTGGTCGCGCGGAGTGCAGATCTGGTCGCGCGGAGTGCAGATCTGGGCACGCGGAGGGCAGATCTGGGCGCGCGAAGTGCAGATCTGGTCGCGTGGAGTGCAGATCTGGTCGCGCGGAGGGCAGATCTGGTCGCGCGGAGGGCAGATCTGAGCGCGCGGAGGGCGGATCTGGGCGGGAGGAGTGCAGATCTGGGTGCGAAATGTTCAGATCTGGGCGCGGGAGGAGGAGATCTGGTGGCGCGGAATCCAGATCTGGGCGCGGAATGATCAGATCTAGGCGCGGGAGGAGTAGATCTGGTCGCAGGGAGTGCAGATCTGGGCGCTGGAGGAGTAGATCTGGTCGCAGGGAGTGCAGATCTGGGCGTTGGAGTTGCAGATCTGAGCGCGGGGAGTGCAGATCTGGGCGCTGGAGTTGCAGATCTGAGCGCGGGGAGTGCAGATCTGGGCGCTGGAGTAGCAGATCTAAGCGCGGGGAGTGCAGATCTGGGCGCTGGAGTAGCAGATCTGAGCGCGGGGAGTGCAGATCTGGGCGCTGGAGTTGCAGATCTGGACGTGCCTTGGAGGGCAGCGCCTTAGGGGGTGCACGGGGAGGGAGGACAGCGCCTAAAGGGCGCGTGAAGGGAGGGCAGCTCCGTGTGTGGGGCTAGATCTGAGGAACGGGGAGGAGAGGGTGGCCTAAGGACCGAGGGAGGAAGGCGTGAGCCATTAGCTCATGATACCATGTTAGAAGAGAGAGAATTGATGCACTGAATAATGAGCCAAAAGGCTCTTTAGTACAAGCAATGAGCAAGGGAAAGATGAGAAGGAAGCTTACCCTATTGGCCAATAAGTTGGCCAATGGGTGAGCTTGCTTATGGCCCAAGCAACCACAAAATGTGTGTTGGTTGGGATTGGTTGAGGTAAGGACCAATCCCCACCAACCACAAAATGTGGTTGGAGGGTACACTAACCAACCCCCAATTTATAAGAGTGCTACACATTTAAGTCTAGCCTATGCATGTTGTATAAAATATGGAAGTACAACACGCCCAACCAATGACCTTGGGGAGGGCGAGAGGGCAAGGCGGGGGGTGGTGGGAGCCCCGGAGTAGCGAGTGGGGAAGCAGGTGAGGTGGAGAAAGGGGAGCCGAGGAACAAGTAAATGGCCCGCCCAGCCAATGACCTTGGGGGGGTCGAGGAGGGGGGTGGTGGGAGTCTCAGAGGAGCGAGTGGGAAAAATGGGTGTGGGGGAAGGGAGGGGTGGCAGGCAGAGGATTGGGGGATGGAGGAGTGGGTGAGTGAGTTTGGAGAGGTAGGCACAGTATCATAGCCTGCTGCACTTTTCATTTTTTGGGAGTTCTCGAAAGGGTCACAAGTTTTGGTTGAAGAGGCGGGAATATAACCAGTTGAGCATTGAGACGTTTCAATTCTTGTGTGTTTGTGCGTGTCATTTCTTGGGTGAACAAATGGAAGGATCTATGCGTGTTTGTTCATAAAAAACCTTGGTGGAGCCAAGGAAGGAAGGGTCGAGATGCGAATGGTTGGAATTTTGAGGCGCCCCATCAACTCAAAAAGTCCAAACTTTGCGTGTTTGATCAATGCATACCTTAGTGGAGCCAAGAAAGGAGATGTCGAGGTGCAGACGGTTGGTGTGGAAGTAGAAGAGGGAGGAGGTTATGGTAGGCACGACTGTACATGATATCATGAACCATGCCATGGGCCTGAAGGGCTGGGGGAAGAGGAGAGGTGAGGGGAGTGGACATGAGAGAGAGTAGATATATTTACACGTATAAATACACAAACATATACGCAAATATAGACACAATTTTCTACATATATTATATACGAGCACGTGATAGAAGATGCAGTCACCGAACCTTGTTTGGAAACATAAGAGCATGCCACAAAGCCATCAGTATATGGAGCTTTTGCGATGCTCTCAAAATCGCTTCCTCGCTCGAATGTGGCCTCACCAAACATTCCCCTCACCAGAAAACGCGCTCACCAGAAGATGTCTGGCGACATGGCAGCATGCCACAGAGCCAACATAGAATGGAGCTTGCGAAATGCTTTTAAAATGACCTCCTCACCAGAACATGCTCTCACCAAAACATGCTCTCACCATAAGATCTCTGGAGACATGACAGCATGCCACAGAACCATCACCAGATTGAGCACCTCCCTCCCCAACCCCCCTGCTGCCTTCCTTCTACTTCTCTCCTCACTTCTCCTCTTCCTCGCCTCCTCTGCTCCTTCCGCCCTTCCAGTCTCAACTGCATTTCCCTTCCCTCCTTCCCCGTCACCCCCCTCTCTGCCTCTCCGTTGTCTCAACCCAATGCTCTGCTCTCTTGCTGCACTCTTCTCGCCCCCACCCTCCTCGCCCCCACCTCTTTCTTCTTCTCCATCCTTCTTCCTCGCCACTATAGCCTCTTGATACTTGTCATTAGAATCATCCCCAGAGGGTCCTAATATATCACTGCCCCTTTCCTTCCCTTTGCCCTCCACACTCTCCTCCTCCTCTTGCTACTCTGGTACCACCTGCTCTGGTACCACCTGCTCCCACTCCCCCAGCTCGCCGCTCTCCTCACTCTCACTGCCACCATTCATGCGGTTGCCATGCGAACTTCCACAGTCAATTGTAACCAGGGAATCAGCAACAGAGTCCCAGGTCGCATCAGAAGCTCGTTCGATTTCAAGACAGGATGGTGCTGTTGCTGTTGTACCATCACTCATAGAGTCCCTCACTCTCTTATCCCCCTCACTTGCTCCGACCACCTTCCCACTCTCCCTCACCCTTTCTCCCTCCTCTCCCTCCCATTCCTCCTCCTCCACCCCCTCCACTTCCTCCTCCTCATCCCCCTTGTCCTCCTCCCCACTTCCCGTCCCCCCTGTAAGCTTCCTCTTGGACGACATGAAACACATTGTGAGCTGTGATAGGGGGAAAAACGCGAAGAGCGCAAACATGCCGTGTGGCTGCAGCGTCTTCAAAGCCGGGCCGCCTAGGAGATTTCCCACCACGCCGCCCGCTGCCATGGAGAACCAGGAGAGGGACTGTAAGTCGCCCGCATACCTCTCCCTACACACAAGGAGAACACATCACAAGTGGAGTGTGTGTGTGGGGGGGGGGGTGTGGGGACGGGATGAGCAACGAACCAGCAAGCCGACCAGGAGGCTCCGCCCCACCATGCCTCTCGTTGCCATTGATAACCAGGAGAAGGATTGTCGGTCGCCCGCATATTGTTCTCTGCACACCGGGAGATCACATCACAGGGGGAACACAAAAGGGGGAGGTGATGAGCAGCGAACCGACAAGCTGCCTGGGAGGCTCTCTCTCATGATACTCACTTGTCTCCTTTTGCCACTTCTCCCACCATGGCATGATAGCCACATCAGCTATGCCTGCCCCCACGTTCCACAGTACGAGCAGCAGCGTGAAGGGCGCGGGGGAGGCAGCTTGCAGCGCACCTAGAGTGTACCGTTTCCAGGGCTCAGGGGTCTCGGGCTCAAAGAAGGGTTCAGGGTATTCTGTACCAGTATCTTTCATAGAAAGCACTCACTTTTCTCCTTTGGCAGCTTCTGCCACCATGGCGTCAATCACCACGTCAGCCAAGGCGGCCGACGTTCTGCAGCACGAGCAGCAGCGTGAAGGGCGCGGGGTGAGGCGGCAGCAGCACACCTACCGAAGCAGTTTCCAGGGTCTAGGGCTTTGGGTCTATAGAAGGGTTCAAGGTTTAGTGTACCGTCCGTTTCTACAGCAGTAGATCGATTTTGTGGACCTTTTGTATAGTGAAAGCACTCACTTGTCCCCTTTTGCCGCTTCTGATACCATGGCATCAATCACCACGTCAACCATGGCCACATGAGAGGCAAAGAGCAGGGTGACAGGAAATCCAAAACCCCACAGACCAATTATCACCTCACTGGTACTCACTTCTCTCCCTTGGCTGCTTCTGCCACCATGGCATCTATCACCACGTCAGCCATGGCCGCCTCAACTATCTGCAGCACGAGCAGCAGCGTGAAGGGCTCGGCAAAGGCGGCGAGACTTGGGACGAACGTGAGGGCGAGCTAGGAGAGCAGCGAGAGGGCGTTGGCGATGATGGTGTAGGGGATTCGATGACCACCCCTTATAGGCACACAGTCAGATAGGATCCTGCAGAGAGGAGGTGATTGGAGGGGACCAGCATAGGGAGTGGCAGAGTGACGAGAGGGCGTTGCAATGATGATGTAGGGGATGCACTGGCCGCCCCTTATAGGCACACAGTCAGATAAGATCCTGGAGAGAAGGGGTGAACGGAGGTGGCAGGGAGTGGGAGGGCGAGCCAGGAGAGCAGTGAGAGGGCGTTGGCAATGATGATGTAGGGGATGAGCTGGCCGCCCCTTTGTCATATAGGATCTTGCACAGCGGGGGTGGACGGGGGGGGGCAAGCACAGAGAGAGGGAGAGTGATGAGAGCATCGAGAGGGCATTGGCGATGATGATGTAGGAGATGTCAAAACAACACCATTCGCCGATGCCGGCATCAGGGTGTCGCCAATTCCGGGGTTCAACACTCACCCAGACAGCAGCTTCAATTCAAGAGATTCTGTCAAAACATGATGACGGTTGCTGGTGTAGCATGTTGGCAGTGGAGGTCATGAGTTAATTCAAAGGCTCTAACGCGTATGGCCGCCACACACCAATCACCCATATGACGGGGCTTAGCGCTCGCTCACACAACACAACCACACAAGGCCGCCACGCAACACTCACCCATACAAGGGCTTCACGCTCCATGTCATGTAGGCAGTGGAGGTCATGAGGTGCGCTTGGGTCGATACGGAGAGCCTTTACTCACCCATGTGGGGCGCACCACTCACCCATATAACGGCTTCACGCTCCACGTCATGTAGGCAGTGGAGGTCATAAGCTGCACTGCTGCTGGGCCCAGCTTCAGATGGTTCTTCACTAGAATGCAGATTCCCGTCCAAGGGAACGCGCGGGTACGAATGAGTTTGGGGGAAGAATGAAGAACAGTGAGAAGCGGTGATGGGGTGAAAGGGAGGGGGAAAAGGCAGGGGCAAGGGCACCACTGGCTTCCGATGGTCCTTCGCCAGAATGCTGATGCCTGTCCAGGGGAACGCGCGGAAGCCCTGAGGTGTACAACTAAGTGTGGGAGGGGTGCAGAACGGTGGACGGGGGAAGGAAGAAGCCGCATATGAGACGCCTCATAACATGTTTATCCCTTTAAACACGTTGAAAGCCGTCAAAATTCGTAAAACCATATGAACCTCGGAAAAGGGTCTGCTTGTCCGTCCAGCATCTGTAAGAACCTCAGAAAAGGGTCTGCTTGTCCATCTAGCATATCACCTGTGCCCAGTAGATGCTGAAGACGAGGATGTGGAACGACGTGCCGAAGCATCGCCGCAACGAGTTGAGCCACGAGACGAGAAGCATGGTGGCGCACAGGCAAGGAGGTGAAAAGCCACCGGTGGAGATCAACGGCTGAGATGCGCGCGATGGATGGCGAAGTTGTATCGGAGGGTGGGGAACTGTGGACGAAGGGTTGTCCGTCAAGAGATATGGTGAATGGTCAAGTGAGGCAGTGGGCGGTCAAGTTTATTCGCGACGAATTGCCAAGTCAGGTTCATATCCTCCCGGATTCAACTCCAATTGGCGTAAGCATCACGCATACAAAAACAATCAAGATCCTCACAATGTAATTGTTTAAGCTATTCCTGCACTGAGTGCCTGAATTCCGCGTCCGATCCATGTTCAGCTGCTACAGCCGAGCCATTGACCATCCGACGCGATGGCCGAAAAAACGTCTTTTCGATTTTTGACCAGCAAACAACGGATTTGGACATACAGATCCTGCCCAGAGTGATGTCTGGCTCATGATATTGGCAGGACAAGATAACTTCATGGTTACAAGGTTCTCGGGTTCTGAGTAGACCTCATTCGGTGATATAACTCTGAGATGCCGAAATGGCAATAGTATTGTTTTTTTGCGGGAATGAAAGCTGGTTAAAAGGGTGAGCCCAAACAATACTAATCAAGCGACCTACTCGTGCCATTGAACGAGAAAGATGTCTCTGCCTAGAGTCGGTTGAGCTCAAAGAGCAAAGGCCACCCGTAGAAGCTGGAAAATTGAAGGCTCACTTGAATCGGGATAAAAACACGGGAATGAGGGGAAACGGGGAAAATGGAGAAACCGAGAAACGGAGAAAGAAAGCGTCATTCACTTGTTGACTTGGGTTGCGAGAATGTGGATCTGGAAAAGCCTAGAGCATGGATGGGTCTCTCATCGCTCGAACTGTGATTGGTTCGCACCAAATTTTCCATCTCGAAACCTCAGCTTTGAGAATCTCGCATGAACTCTTATTGGGTGGTCCTGGTTGGTGGAGACACTGTCGAAAGAAATCGCGACAGCTAATTAGCTTTCGCATTTGCGATGACGCTCGCATGGACGACCGCTTTCGCTTCCCGCGCGTTTCCCACAAAACACCACCTCTAGGATTGCGGTCTGTCCAGTTGAACGCATTCTTTGTGCTTTAAATCTAGCAGTTTCTACAGTTGTGACACGGTACGCAACGGTGGAGGGCGGGAACAGCTCTTGAGGTTGAGCACCTGCTCTGTGATGTAGTGGTGTTGTTCTGTAGGCGTTAATTTCCTAAGGGCAGGGTCCGCAAAATCTTTGTTTATGAGTGATCTGCTGCTTATCAAGGTTTGGTGATAAGAGAGATCCTGCCAAACCTGTTTGTGCCAAATTTACCACCTCTGCCTGAAGAACACCACTTTAGGGGCGCACAAATTTAACTGTCTGCTGGTTCGAAGATGTTGCCTCGCCAGGCAAACGGTCGCACAGATGCAATGCTAATTCTACCTCGGGAGCTAGCATCATCTTCCGCACTAGTTGGCCCTGTTCGGTAGCCCCCCAAGTCATACTGCGGTTGGTGCGGGGGATCTTCTTTAGCCCAGATTCGTACCATGTTAAAGCCCACCAAATCGTTATTAGAACACCAGATCTGCCCAGTGTGAGTTGGCTACCGAACGCGTAAGAAACCCAGTCAGGGTGAGGGCGAGAACACTAACCCCGACATTGCGAGTCCAGGCAAACTGGACCATCAGTGAAAGTCTAACCCATTTCTGCTTTCTAGTTCTACCCAGGCAGGCCTGCTCCGAGTGGCATGCTGAAGGGTATACGCTTCATTAGTCTCTTTTCGGGTCAAATTAATGTTTTCGACCCGTTCGTTCAAATGTGAGAGATCTTGCCCGTTCAGATTTTTCTCTTTTTTCCATATCAAGGGGCTTCCATTTGGCGGGCTGATTTTGTCAGTAGAGCTACACTGTGAGATCCCCGATCGATCCTAGGGGGGGGTTACAGGCGCGTTTGCCTGGGGGGTTATGGGCGCACTGACCCGCTACTGAAACAAGCCCTTTTATCCCAATGGTCTAGTGGTTGGGATTCTGACATGGTATCAGAGCGGTCTCGGGTTCGAATCCCGGTGTATGCACATGTTGGCCGTTGCCACTGTGCTCAGTCCTGGGCCTCCCAGTGTGGGGGGGTGTCAGTAGAGCTACACTGTGAGATCCCCGATCGATCCTAGGGGGGGGTTACAGGCGCGTTTGCCTGGGGGGTTATGGGCGCACTGACCCGCTACTGAAACAAGCCCTTTTATCCCAATGGTCTAGTGGTTGGGATTCTGACAGATTTTTTGTTTGTTGATGGGGCAGCCTCGTACAGAAGTGAAAAAATATTCCATATATTTCTTCATGAACACATGGTAACTTCTTGCAATTGCGAACGAGACTTCCTTCCCGTATGAGTGGAGGCCCGAGGCTAAGAAACATAGCGTAGGCTTCCCCAGTTCGAGTGGGCCCAGTGTGACTAGAAGGCTACCGAACAGGACCGTTATGTGGGGCAACAACATCCGCGCAATGCAATACGCATGAATGCGCGAAGAAATTACACGGAAGGCAACACGGTCAAATTGGTGCGGCAGCAATAACGCTTGCAGAACAACGCCAGCGTGAGTTTCTAGCGTTTCACTACATTTTGTCTTTGGAAATTTGTCAAACTTCAAAGGGAAAGTACATCCCAGCTCCTTAGTTTCAAAAATATTTCAAATTTAGTTCCAAGTTTACCCAAGAAGTCTAAATTTGCGGAATTTCGCCACGCAAGGACCACATTATGTTCAAAACTGGTCCTGCGGGGCAGGCATTTCAACACGTGTCCATTTCGCACCAACATTTTTTTTACGGGGCAAAAAAGCTTAATACCCCTAAGAAAACAGGATACATTTCGCGAGAGATCAACCCTAAACATCGGGCGGGTTCCTGTATTTAGGGTTGATCCCTTGGGTATTATGGTCATGGTTTCCCTAAGGGTATTATGTTTTCTGCCCCACGAAATAATTCCGCTGTGAATCAGGACACGTTTCGAAAGATTAGCCTGAACATAATTTGGGCCTCGTGTGAGCGAAATTCCACAAACTAAGACTTTTTAGTAAACATGGGACTCAATTTGAGATATTTTTGAAAATAAGGAGCTGGCATGTACTTTCTCAAGTTCTAAGGACACGTCACATCTTTCTAAACTGGTAGGGTCGTGGTAGGGTCGGGGCAGGGTCGATGCTGAACACCGATCCAGGAGAGATTTACTCCAAACCCTTCTTTGGAGATTCAACGTTGCACACGTGGCCTCTATTTGCTTGCGTGGCCTTACAATTGCACGATAGTTGCTCGAATGTGTCAAACTATTATAATGTTTAGGTTGTGTAGGCTGTAGTGGGGTAGCCCATAAGGGGTACAACCCAAATAGGGTTAGTACTTGTACCCACCTTGACTTTAATTTCACTCATTCTCGTTCAGTATTCTGACATGGTATCAGAGCAGGTCCTGTTCCAGGACCATTTTTTTTTAGGGCCCACCAAATAGTTCCCTGCCCGTAGCGTGTTACTCTGCCCGTCGCGCTGCCCCACCAGTCGCGCTGACCTGCCCTCTCGACGCGCCGCCCTGCTAGCGCCGCGCTGCCCTACCCTGCCCGTGCGCCGCCCTGCTGGCCGCCGCATCGCCCTGCCCTGCCTACGCACCGCCCTGCCCTGCCCGCACGCTGCCCTTCTGGCCGCCGCCCTGCCCTGCCCTGCCCGTGTACCGCCCTGCTGGCTGCCGCACCGCCCTGCCATGCCCGCGGGCTGCCCTGCTGGCCGCCGCCCTGCCCTGCCAGCTGCGCTGCCCTGCCCTAGCGCTTGCGCGCCGCCCTGCCCGTTGCGCCGTCCTTGCTTGCGTGCTGCCCTGCTGCTCGCGCGCCACCCTGTTCTGCCCGCTATGGCTAATTTCAACGTTCTCACATTTGATCCTGAGGGCCGTCCGATCCAGTTTGATACGTGGCTCGATGACTTACAGCTGTACCTACTGATCGATTCTAGAGACAGCGTTTTGTTGTTTGACCACACGTCTGGAGCCTCTCTCGCCCCTCCCGACACAGCTGACAGTGCGACTCGCTCACAGTGGCTTAACCGTGATGCTGCTGCTCGCCTAGCCGTTCGCAACCACCTACCGTTATCCGAACGCGCGCACTTTGGCCAGCACAAGACTGCTAAAGCCCTGTACGACGTTGTAGTCGCTCGTTACTCCTCCCCTGCCATTGCTGCTCTCAACCGCCTTATACTACCCTACCCTTTTCCCGAGCTGTCCGCCTTTGCCACAGCCGACGACCTAGTCACCCACCTTCGCACTAGTGACACTCGCTACCGTGCCGCGCTTCCCACCAAGCTTCTAGACAAGAACCCTCCCCCCATGTACATCGCTCTCTACTTCATCGTCACCCCGCCTCCCTGAATCTCTTAGCGCAGTCAGGGACCACTTTCTCGCCATGGACCCCACTGTCGACCTGCTCGAGAAGCACCTCCTTGCAGTTGAGGCTAGCATAGTCGCTGTAGGTGCTGCTTGTGGCACTCCTCGCACTCCCTTCTTTGAGGGGTGTTCCCCCTCCCCCATTGCCCCCTACTACGCCTCTTCTGTTGCTGTTGACTTCCTTCGTGCTGAGGAGGTCGGAGCTGCATCTGCTCCTAGTGGGAGGCGCCGCAGCGGCAGGGGCAAGGGAGGCAAGGGTGGTGGGGGTGGCAGCGGTGGAGGCGGAGGTGGAGGCGGTGGATGTGGTGGTGGTGGCGGAGGGAGTGGTGGTGAGAGTGGAGGCGTTGGTGGTGGTGGTGGTGGCGGCAGTGGGAGTGGTGGCGGCGGTAGTGGTGGCAGCAGTGGGAGTGGTGGCGGCGGTGGTGGTGGTGGTCGGGGTGGAACCGGTCAGAGGGGAGGTTCTGGCGGTGGTCAGAGGCAGCAACAGCAGCGTCCACGTGAGACCCCTATGTCCCAGGAGCTTCGTGAGTGGTTTGCTCAGCGTAGGGCGTCTGGGGGTAGTGTTCGCTGCCAGTACGGCATTCACACAGGTGACCGCG